CACAATATCAGAGAAGTTGAACAAGTTTTGAAAGTGACTTTTGCTCCCTAACAGCCACAGACGACCACCAGAATAACCAGAATGACAGTGCCAGTGGATTCGAGCTCTATACCGCTGGTATGGATGGCTAACCAACCATGAAGCCCGCACTTGGAGCTTGCACTGACAGCACACCAGCTCCTACCCAGGAGAAAAGCTGCACTGTCAGTGGGGAAGAAAGATGAGGTATTCTTCATCACCAGAAAGTTCATCCCAGAGAAAACTACTGTCTAGAGGTCTGCTAAGGAGAATCCAGTCCTGTTCCTGCTCTGAGTGTATCAGGTTTTGAAGGTTTTTTGCAAGCCTTGAAGCAATTTCCACTGCTAAATGTAAACAAGGCTTTCAGATAGTCCTGTGATGTCAGGATATAAAGACCAAATGAGATCCATTTACAAAAGCAGAATGAATATTTAAATAAAAAGCAGCCACCATCAAAAATTTTTAAAAAATGCTGTTTTGGTTAATGCAACATACTGTATTTCTGCCAACAAAGGCAGTTTCTGATCAGGACATGCTGTGTTTTCCTCTGGAGATTTTGCAGGCAGGGTGGTCTTTCAAGAGGGACGGGAAAGAGCTTAGTTAACATTACACATCTTTCATATATGCAGGCTGGTAAATGTAAGGCATTACAGCTGTGAGTTTGTCACCAAAAACTAAGCTGAAAGGAGACTAAGCACGGGAGATTGACAAGAATACGACCTAGTCACTCTCAACACTTTTTATTCTCCTTCATAATAAAGAAACTTCTCTTGTATTTGCGCAGCCAGAATTCCTTGGCCTTTACAGTGGTCAGACAGAAAAGATAGAAGAAAAGGGATGGTACAAAAAATGTCATAGTTAAAGTTTTATTAATTTACTATGGGCTACAACAGAGGACTGCAGCCTCCTTAAGCTACATTTGTTTATTTTGATAGGAAGAATACTTTGGCACTGAAAGACTGTACTTCAAATCACAAAATGCTAAGTCAATTTTGGAAGCAAGAGCTACTCTAAAGAATCAACTGCATGTTCAGGAGGAGATCTGAGCAGTTGGCAAATCAAGTGACTTCACTGGGACAACATACTGCTTTTATTTGAAAAAGCATCCTTGATCAGTGCATGCTTAAACCCAGTGAGACCTGAGCACGTAATTGAAGTTAAACATACGTTGAAGTCTTTTTCTGAATCAGATACATATGAGGAAATACTTATCAGTTGGAATATGGTATTCATTCTCTGGTTCATCCCTTTTTCCTCCTAGAATTTTTAGAGTTTGAAATATCCTGTGCAAATAATCCATCTAAATAAATATGGAGATGCTTATGTAATTACATGTGTACAGAGGTTACAAAGAACATTTTCATTTTATAAATACAATATTCACCTTCAAGGCTAAACAATTTACTAAGACCATTTGTTTTTATATTGAGTGATGTTTAAAAAACTGCCAGATGGAAGCTGTGCATCTCCCTTTGAGAGGTGAAGTAATACCTTACATTTACTAATTTCAAGAAAACAGCTATTTTATCTTTCATCAGTGTTATTAAAATTATTATTAATAGCAGTATTTGCATGCTGGGTAAAGCAAATATTTGAAACAGGGCATGAATATAAGACCATTATGCCATTAGTACCATTCTCCTTTACTTCTGTGATTAAGGCTATAAGGATTCAGAAAACCTTCTTATCAGATTTCTTGAATTCCAAAGGTTTTAGCTGTGAAAAATCAGCTCATGCAAAGAGGAATCATTTAAGAAAAGATACTATCATTGTTATTCACGTCACTCAAAACTCACGCCAAAAGAATTTCCACTGAAATAAAAGAGATTGTTCATCAAGTCAAGCCAATTCAGTATAAATGCAGATGGAAGAATGATTTATGGAGTTTTTAAGCATATTCTGCTCACTTGTTCCCAATTTACAATATAGTCAGCATGGCCACTTCAGTTTCCAAGTCATGGAAGGATCACAACCTGCCAGTGTTGATCCAAAAGCACATGCCTTTACATCTGCAACTGAGATAGCATCTCTAGCAAGTGGGATCACTGCATGACTAAACATCCCTAAGACCACAGTTGAACATCCTACAGTATTTAGGCCATAGCTAACTCCAGCTAAGAGTTTATGATCCTTCACATTCTTGCAGCAATGGTATTGCCATCCCTCTTCCCTTTCACTTCCCCAAATTTGCTACATATTTTGGCAAAATCTGGTTCTAGCTCTGAGGTTACAAGAATGAATGAAGAAAAGTAGTGGGAGCAGACAGGAACCTGAATCAGCAGCAGCTGAAACAGTCTATTTGACTAGGCTCAACCTGAGCAGCAGTGCCAAAGTCACACATCAACTTGTAAGCTTATTTAACTAGCTGTCTGTGATCCAGCTGGGTGTGTTACTGAACAAAGCTATTTTTCTCATCCATTACTGTGGTCTATAGCTAGGAAGAGGAGAAAGACTGTCATAAATAGAATGATTCAATACAGAGTTGAGGCATTCTTGCAACATATAGTCACAGATACAAAGTAATGATTTATAGGTTATATGCAAAGCACAGAGCCATCAGTAGCATCATAAAAACAAGTATTTGACAGTTACACAACAATTTTTCTTACCCTAGTTCAGCTCCTCTGTGATAGCTTTTGAGAGATGATCAAATATTTTCTAGCCCCAGCCCCATTCATCCTGTCCCAGATCCATACCACAATAACTTCTACAATACACTCACAACGCCTTAAACCACACAACTGTTGTTTCAAATATGCAAACTCATTACCCTGACAGGCATTTATTCTACATGTGGGCAGAAAAGCCCAAAGACTTGACAACGCACAAAGGTAATCTGATTTTAGAACCTGACTTTGTTGGCTTATATTTATACTGGGGAACTTATCTGACACCACTAACCAATAAAATCTTTCTTTAATCTTCTTCTAAAAAACCTAGGCTGCTGGAGATCACACCAAGTAATCAATCTCCAAAGAATAAAATTAAAGTAAAATATTTCAAAGTGTATGTTACAAAAAACTACAGTAATACTAGCTTTAGAATATTAGAGAAACAAAACACTGCTACAACATACCTTGAGCTGTCTCAATATAGCATTCATACATAATACAAAACCACTCAGAGCTCATTAAAATTACCTGGAAGACACTTCACAAAGGGATACAGAAAATAGCAAGAGGTTGGGATACTCATTCAAAACATAAAATAGGAAATATCAAGTGTTTTTACAGTGTGAAATTGCTCTATGTTGGTTTCAGACAGCAGGGGAATTAAGTACTTTCTCCCAGATTGTAAACATGACTTTTAGAGAGCACAGAGGTTTCAGTCACTTGTAGTAAAGACTGCAGACTATTTGCAAGCTCCATCTTTCTTTTCTTCTCATCAGATATTTAAAAGTCAAGATGAAATAGAGGAGGAACTCAAAGTATAAAAATTATCCAAGTGTGAGGAAGTAAAGAATGCCACTGGAGAAAAGTTATGGTTGGAAATCTTTGGGATTTCTACAAGCTATACGAACCAGCCATTCCTGATAACTACAGAGAGCACTCAGAGGAAGAGGAAAGTTGTGTTTAACAAGAGGCCCATTAACTTCAACTTCCATGGAAGAATAATACTGATGAAAAAATATAATTTACCTCAAGACTGAAAGAAACTAACAAATTGTAATTTTTTCATGTCACAAAATGTCGCTATTGTTACAATGGCACTTAATATATCATTAGTTTTTCATGTACCTGCATCTCATTTCCATAATTCATACACCATAAGTATTTATCATATCACATTTTGTTCATTTTTTTCATTTTGCTTTTTCAAAAAACTTGAACCGCGATTTCTACAATAAATTTTTTCTTTCTGGAGAGTATTTTTAAAAGACTAACAGAATAAAGTGGAGGACTGATTCTCAAATTTGCTGACACTGCAGTCATTACTAAATGAATCAACTAATTGCATGCTGAAAAGCAAATTATAAGGGAGGTATCCAAACGCTAATATTTCTTTACCCTTTAGTGGGAATCCTTAATATTAACTTTCTGCTACACAAACTGATTTGAAATAGCAACAGATAAAAATCATTCAAACTGATCTGGTTAGTTTCCTTTTTCTTTTTCTTTTTTTTTTTTTAAGGGTGAATTTTTTTCCTGCTTTTGTCCTGACTCATGAAAGACGCCAGAGAGTGATGTGGATGATGTGGTGAAAGCTCTGAAAAAAAACTCTACTTAAGTCAAGGACTAGGGGAAGTGGTCACTCTGCGAGGTCATTTTCCTGTGAGACTATGTGACAGCTGGAGAAAATTAGCCAAAATATCTGCATTCCAGAGAAGTATAAAAAGAAGGAAGAAAGGGAGGGGAGGGGTCAAATGTCTTGTGGAAACCTGTAGGAACAGCAATGGCATTTTCTGCATGGACTTGCTCAATCTGGTTTCCTGAAAAAGTCTGACTGAAACAGGAGACTTTTAAAGTCTCAGAGGGTAGTCAGGCACCCAGTTCCTTTAAAAGTCAGCAGGACATTCATTAAATTTGAGCAGATTAGCTGTATTGGATCTGTTCTCCAATGCTGGTGCAGGGACCACACAGAAATCCTACTCCTAACTTTATTACCATTTAAAGATTTACAGATCAGACACACTTCTAGAATGGAAGAACTGGGAAGGGAGCAATAATACCATGGTAATGAGACAGTTTCTTTGATTTCCATGTTCATAATTGTCAAAGAAATAGGCAGGGAATCACACATTTTCTTTGATACGAGTTTTGAATCGCTGATACTGGTTTTTTTGTTTTGCAGTAAAATCAAAAGAAAAATATTCAAATATTTTGAAAATTAATTTGTATTCTCTTAAAAATAAAACACACAAGCTTTTATGTAAGTTAGCTGATCAGACACAACCTGAGCCTAAAATCCAAATCCTGTCACAATTAGCATATTACAGTGAAACTTTTGATTCTGATAAAGCAGAATATTAATTGAAACCATACCTTCCTCCTTCTGAAAGCTTCCATTTCCATGGATCTTCTAATCCTTTCAGACTACTCTCTGAAAGAAAAGAAAAAACAGAAAAAAAAGTCTCATTGAGATGAAGAAGTTTGCTTTCATAATTTCAAACAATAGCAGGAGAAATCAGTTCATACATAAACGAAACTCTGCTCCAGCCTATCTGCAGGATCTCCTTCAGCACAAATAAGAGAGACAGAAGGAATCAGGTAGGAGTCAGTAAATGACTCCCACAAGTAAAAGTAAGGATGCAGTCTAAAATAATTCAAAAGCAAAATTAAGACTTTTTCAGACTCCTAGCAATTACAGTTGAGGTCAAGTTTTTAAAATAGAGTAGCTGTCACTTGGGCAACTAAATGAGGACCATATTTTACAGACTGGACAATGATCCCATTCATGGGAGATTTCACATTCATTACATGAAGGATAATATAACATAATTGTAAATTAAGAAAAGTTAAATAGCCTCCAGAATGTTATAGAAGGATTTCATGGAGTCTCCAACATCTCATTCTATAATCTTCCCATTGCAAAATACAAGGGTATGTCTCTCATAGCTTGACCATTTTGTTCCAAATCTCTTGTGTGCAGATAGCACAATGTCTCTGCTCCTCCTCTAACCTGATTTTCTCTGGCAGTTTATCACTTTTGTGGAATGAAAAGAAAATAAAATCTGATTAAGGAAGGCAGTTCTATTTATTTTTTTCCTAAAAATATATTTTGTCTTGTCCTTTTTCTCCTCTTCTTCTTCCTTCAGATAATAAATAACTGTGAAGGAAGAAAAAGTTCCAAAAAGGAAAAAAAAAAAAAAAAGTGGAAATTTGCACCGCTAACACCATTGCTAACATGTAGTGTTAACCTACACTGTATTGCTTTGGGATCTGATATAGATATTTTCTGGGTAGCTCAAAAAAAACCCCACTTAGAGAGAAGATAATGGTTTAAATAAACATAAGGTGGTCCAAAATCACCTCTAAACTTGAAGTTAAACAAAATTCACTGTTAAATATAAAGCATGTTGCATTAACTTCCTTTTTAAAGAAGGTATTTTATTCTTGCACTTCTGTTTTATTTTTTAAATGAACCAGAAGCAGAAGTTTGAAATGTCATGTGAAATTTTGTTCTCATGAGGCTGTTGCTTGAGTTTTACCTCAGCAGGATTTAGAGAACTTCAGATAATCTGCTTAGCTTGTTATCTGAACCAAAATGCTGAACCTCTTTTAAGAATTACTCACGTCCCTATCTTTACCAGACACCTTTTTTTTTAATCCATCACTGCCTTTGGGCCATCATAAAACTTTTCCCCACACTGGGTATTTTCTTGACCTGGTCATGACTGCTTATCTCTGCCACGAGTGCCAAGTTCACCAGAATAGCTTTCCTGCGTACTCTGATCATTTATTGGTGTTCATAAGGAAGGAAAAGGAAAGCAATTCATGAGAAACTTTCCATATTTCTGTCTCACTATTTTTATTGTGGTTAATTTGATTAATTTTTAAAAGGTAAATATGGGAATATATCTATTGACATACTATTATCTGTGGTTGTTTATATACGGAGGGCAAATCCTTTCCTTCACCCAAAGCCAAAACAAACAGATCTTGTACAGACAAGTCCTAAATTGATTGAGAGTGATGGACGCCTCGCCACAGGCTGCAGAGCTGTTCCCCACCTATTAGTTCACTGTAGGTATGCTCTTCTGCAAAGACACTGTTTCATATCAAACCTGCCGTTAATAGCTTTCAGCCTTGATTGAAGCACTTTCATGTTAGCAACATTTTCTTTTTACACTCTTCGTTAGAAGACATGACTTATACCAAGATATTTGGTCTGTTTACCTACCCTGACTTTCAGACTTCTAACCATGAAAGTACCAGAAGAAGACGGATAATTTTGCCTCATAAATTTACTTCAAGAAGATGTTTTCAAATCTGCCAATTTCAGATAGCAAATTATGTATGCAAAAGCCCCTCACAAGTTTTTTAATTTATAGATATCTACAAGCATAACATTATGTGAGATTATTACAAACAACTAAAAAAAAACCCACAAAATTATCCATTAACCATTTTCCTGTTTCTTCACAGCATTCTGTGTTTGAAGATACACAAAGAAAAGTCATTTGTAAAGAATCAACTCTACATACCCAAATTGGTCATTCAGTGTTCTGCTGAGTGAATAAACACTTGATGATATCAAATTAATAACCAAATATACTACTGTGAGTATATGCACTTGATAGAAAAACAGATTGATGTTGAAGCTCTGTGGATCTGTGAACTTTAGTGACTGCAGCACAGCTGAAAACTGAACCAAATGTTCATTAAAAGTTACTAATATTTACCATTCTGGGTGACCTACAGTATTTGCTTTCAGGCAAGAGCTTCCCTCATCAAAAACCTATTTGTCCTGTATTATCATTTAAAGAAGGGTCAACAATCCTTTGAATTATTTTCCGCTACCAGGAAAGTGATTAGGTTATGATTATTTTTGTTCCATGTATCAATCCCCAATGCCTTGCATACAGAGACTTAAAGTGCTACCATTAGCAATTTACACCCACTTGCTGTCCATAAATGACTTTCAAGGTTCAAGGCAGTGGAGTGTAAAACTGCTGACTTAACTGCTGGAGCACTGAAGAGGAGAAGAAACTGGATGAGACAGAGCAAGCCCTAAATGCCTTCCATAATTAACAAACATGGCAAGACAAGTTATGAAAAACAAAGGGACTAGCCAGATTTATGCATATAGTCTGGTACTTCTGAAAGTTTGTCCAACTACAAAATCCTCTTTTGATCTACATTAATTGAAAGCACTTAAAATTCAATCATACATTTATGGCCACATGTTTAAAACCGAATCCTAATCTTGCATTTGTAACCTACTGGTCAGACTGGAATGCTTCCCTTCTGCGTCCAGCTCACCAAGGATACAAATCTAATGATTGTCTTTAGTTTCAGCTATAGAGTTTCATACTTGTGGCTTTGAAGGTCCCTAAATTTAATTCTAAATTGTATCCACAATGATAGCGGTCAGAAATCTCCAGTAGATCCTGACAACAAACCCCTGAGGAAGCAGTAAGCCATTTGCGGATAAACACACTTGTCCTGGTTTAGTTTCTTAATGCAATAAGAGAACGTGATTCATAGAATCATACAATTCTTAGAGTTGGAAGGGACCTCTGAGGCCCATCTAGTCCAACTCCTGCTCAATCCCATAAGATTCAGTGGTTTGAGAGCTGCCCCAACGTGGAGACAGCAATCTCTGTGTTTTTGTTCACCGGTAGGAGAACAATGAAAAAGAGCTAGCAGCCTGAAGTAAGCAAAATCAAACCACCGTGCAAGTCGTCGTGAAGGGATACGGTAAACTTCTTTTTTAATCAGATATGGGAAAAAGGAAGAACAAGTATGCCAAAGAGCTGCATTTCTTCCCAAGGTCATTCTCAGATTAAAAGCTGCAAGGTAAACATCATGTACTTCTAGGCAATAGGACTCCATCTGATGTTACAGGAACTAGCAAATCGAGAACTGTTTTCCTGAATCCCCTCATATGCACCAACAGCAGCATTGAAAACTCTCATTAGTTGCACCATTTGTGTATACTACAGTCCAATTCATAGACCTCTACTCTTTCAGTTCCTTCCCAAGCACCAAAAGGTAAGAAATTCTTCCTGAATATTTCACTATGCTATGTTTGGGAAAGAGCTCTGTTAAAGAGCTGGCACTATTTTCCTGTCTTGGCTAATAGTTTTTGTGACATGCCCATAAGGGAGACCAGATATTTGTACCCATTATATGTAAGGATTTTTTGCCCAAGGACAACTTGTAAAACCCATTAATATGAATTGTTTCTGAGCTGACGAGGAAAAATAGAAAACACTGAATCCAGACCTTCAGTACTTTACTGGTGTTTCTGAACTTTTATTAGCTGTACTTGCTTCCATAAAATCTATTTAATAAGGCAACCGATGTTTTGGTAATGCATCAAAAGCAGTTCTCTTCAAAGGGCATCTTTTTCACTCAATCTCTTCTCTAAAGACAGTGACATTAGTTTTGTAAATTAATAAACAGGCCAGCATCTGAGGACTGCATGAAGCCTCCATCACCCCTCATTGTGCTTTCTCTTCTGACCCCACTTTCCAGTGCAGGGCCCTCATCTCGACAACAATACCCTGAAAGCCTGTGTGGCACTCTGGGATCACACTTGAAAAGGCCTTTGGCTGAGGCTGGCTTTCAAGAAGAGGGGACAATTGGCAAGAGGCCTGTGGCTATTCATGCAGAACAGGCAGTGAAAAATGCCTGAAGTCAGTTTCAGGGGTGGGCAATGCCCAAAAAAGAAAGCCCACATAACATGAATGACTGCTGCTAGGAGACTAAAACCAAAGGCATGCTACTAGCAGGCCTCCATGTGCCGACATCAATGGGTTCATCCTATCCCTATTAGGGGCCTAAAATGATGAAGAAACATGAGAAGGGACTATAAGCAGGAAAGGAAAATAATACCAAAGTACACAACGGTCAATGCTTATATTGTTATACTAAATGCTCAGGAGAAGGAAATAATATTTTCTATGTTCACTACCTTTTCTGTTAACAATAGTTACATCAGCTAAAAAATCTAATAAGCAAAATAACTGTGGTACATTTTCTTGGGGGAGGAAAGCTATGCACTTTCATGATTAATTATTTCTCATGCACATAATTAAGGGTGATTTCAAATACATATTAGAAAAGTCAAGGCAGCATTGCGATGGTTCTGGACCTGGTGCTGGAGCAGTTCCAGCGCCCTTGGATGTGCATGCAAGGTCCACTAGCTTCAATCCCAGCAATACAGGTCAGAGGGAGATGGGAGGTCTAATGGCTTATAACAGAAACCACCATCATGCACCACAAAAGCATTTCAGTGGCATACAAATGACCCAGACCTTAAATGTGCTTAGTGCTAGTGAGCCCGAGTGCGCTGTCTGCAGCATGGATCCAATGTGGTGAAAGGCCTACAGGCCTGAAAATTAACTGTGAAGAATTTTCCTCACCTACAAGTCACCAGTTCTGGTT